AAAAGAAACTGTCAGCCACAGTAGAACGTGACTTTCTCAGAACTGTTGAAAATAACCAAAATATTACTAGTAAAAATTCCAGGAATAATTTGTGGGCCGTTGAAAAGCAAGTAACAATAAATACTATGGCTTAACTACCGTTTACTGGGCATACTGAGGAAAAGCAAGAACAATTTATTGTCTGTTTACTAAGAAACTATTTTTTAAATGAAACAAGCTAGTTAAATTTCCTAAACAACAATGACAAATTTAATATCGTGATCGAAAGAAAATTGATAAAAAAAAAAAAATAATAATATATAAATCAGGATGTCTGCCTGTGTTTGTCTGTCTGTCTGTGTGATACTCTTTTACTTGAGATACATCCAACCAATTTTGACCAAACTTGGTGCATACATTGTACGATGTAAGAGATGGGGTCTTATCGTAAAAAAATCGATAATTTCAAAAATATCAATAATCGATAAAGCCGATCAAAAATCGACAAATTAAACTTTTTTCCTCCGATTTCATTTAAACTCGATATGTAGGTTACTTACATCATGACGAGCTCAACGATACCTCATTCTTATTCCTAGGCCACTGCGTTTGGCGAAAAATCGCGAAAAACGAAAAATCGATTGCAACAAAAACTTTAAACTAAAACCTCCCTCAATTTTCAAGCAATCTAACGCAAACTTCACTCAAGTTAGTTGATTGTTTAACAGTCATTTAACTTGGTAATTGAGTGAACTCATATAGTGAAAATCCACGTAAATAGCGAAAAATGGCGATTTTTACTGGTCTTTTGTATTTTTCGTTGATCTTTCAACCAATTTTTATCAAACTTAACAATTGCTTTATAAATGTAGCCTTTTTTACATTCCTGGTAGCACACTGACAAATTGAATTTCAAAAACTCCCAAATAATTGTAGTCTGAAGTAGGTCTTTATATTGCCTGTTTTAGACCTTCATGATCTCGGCTAACTTTGATTAAATAAATACAAACTACTTCTGTTATATCAGTAGCTTCATTAATTCAAAATGTTTTAATGAAAGTACTTTAAAGTAATTGAAGAAGATAGGCTCTGTTGCATCTAAACATGATGCTGTTTTTGCCCTATTCTAATTGAATGTTTTTTCTGATCGACCAGCTGGGTATGGCTGCTCGTAAATAAAATAAAAATGCGATATTTATGGAATTTGTAAGAAGAGGTTGGAATTAATTGTCTTCAGAAAAAAGAACTGGATGGCAGATTTACGAGGTAGAAATGTGATAAATGTGCAAGTGCCATTTTTTTTAATTAATTACTGATAATTGCTATAAGTGTAAAAAGTAGTTTACAGGTGTAGTAGTAGGAAATTGTAGGATCAGAAAATCTTTTAGACAGAAGTTGGTTTGCTGTTTCGCACTTTGAGCTAGAAGAGATACTGAAGCGTTTTACTTATTAGAGGGTAAACAACGTACCCTAAGAATTGGTTCAGGGAGAAAATAACGTTTAAAGTCATAAAAGTCTATCGGAATAATAAAAATCCATTACTTCTTTAGAAAATACATTTTTGTTTACGTTTGGATATGAAACTGAGCAGATATGAAAAATTTCGAGAGTCTATGATGAGAGATGTTTTGCTTAAAGGCACTATTTCGACCGTGTCTGATCAGTTACGTTCTCTGTAGCTCAAACAGTTAGAGCTTATCGGGTCTAAGGCCAGCTGCCTCTTCCCAGGCGACAAAGGTTCGGATCTTGACGGAGAGCGCATATTTATTATTTAATAAGATTTCTCGAACATTCAGGGCGGTAGATGAAAATAAATAAATTTAATGAATAAACGGAGCGTCTACTCGGAGTATCCACTAAAAATAACGTTTAAAGTGATAAATATATTATCCCTTTGAACGTTGTTTTTAGTTGATATTTGGGTAGACACTCAGACGTTTATTTTATTTAAACAGTAAATTTATTTTCGTCTACCAGCCTGAATAAATGAGAAATTATATTTAAAAAGAAAAAAAAATCCCCCTCTAGTAGTAAAAATGATAAAAGAATGTCTGATTAATAAATTAAAAAATCCATTACTTCTTTAGAAATTGCTTTGTTTACGTTTGGGTACGAAACAAGATATAAACTTTCGGAAATCTGGGACAAGAATTATTCGGCCTTGCTTGATCGACGTCTTCCTTCGTGGCAGAGTCGGTCTAAATCGTGTCGAATCTAAAGAGTGTTTCTCATGCAAACAGGGATGCAGGTTCGAATACTGCTGGAGGGCGCATTTTTCTTTAATAAGATTTCTCGAATATTCCGGTAGACGAAAATAAATAAATATGCTATTGTAGCGTCTGCTCAGATATGGGTACCCACTAAAAAACGTTTAAGTGATAAAAGCTGTCAGATTAATAAATAAAAACATCATTACTTCTTTTATATATATATATATATATATATATATATATATATAATATGTGTGTATATAAATATATATAAAAATTATTTATATAAATAAATAAATATATATATATAAATTATTTATATATTATACGGTACATCTATCCAACTATATATATATATATATATATATATATATATATATATATATATATATATATATATATATATATATATATATATATATATATATATATATATATATATATATATATACGGTAGAGTAGTGTGTAGCGGCTCGGATTGAGGAATCGGAGAGTCGAATTCATTACATTCACTTTGGTGCTAATACCATGGAGAAAGGTATTAATCCTCTTCTTCTCCCTCCAGCTATGGATATCTTGTGGCACGGAGTGCAACAAGTCTCTGTATTCGGCTCTTCAAAAAGTGTTGTTGGTTCTGCACAAAGTCTTCACCCCTATAATCAAATCATATGTGCTGGTGTCTGGTATTAGGTTGGTGCAAAAATAATATCGTTTTTGACGTTAAGTTGAACGTCAAAAAACGACATTATATATATTTTATATATATATATATATATATATATATATATATATATATATAGAGAGAGAGAGAGAGAGAGAAAGATAGTATAGAAAATTAGGAGACCACCGATTCGGCTTTGCTTTGTTTCACCCTTTCCGTATCTTCAATCGATTTTTTTTCTTTTTTTTAAATAAAGCTTTAGGAAATCAATTGCCGAAATCGCCTGAAGATACTGAAAGTTTGAAACCAAGGTAGGCGAATGGCACAATTTTTTATACTATATATATATATATATATATATATATATATATATAGACAGAGAGAGAGAGGGAGGAGGGGGGAGAGTTATTAGAATGAATGGGTAATGATGAGATGACGTGTGGACCGAATGAAATTGGATACAAAACTCACATAATTTTCCCTCTTCTAGATTTGCAGAACATGCAACTCAGAAACCTTTAGGGCCAAGTTATTTGCCATCTGATTTTACCCCAGAAAGAGCGGACGTGATCTCGTGCTACACAAAAGAAAAAAAGATCTTCAATTGCATCCACCCCAAAATAGGTCAGTAAAAGTCACGGGTGGAAGAAGGTCGAATTAACCAAAATGAAGTCTTTTTCGTTTCATTTTATTGTATATCATGAAAATTATCTAATCCTACTTTTTTTTTTTTTTTTGGCATAATAAACACGCTAAACCAGCATTTCTCAACCGGTGCGCCTGGGCGCACTAATGCGCCCTGAAAGGTAGTCAGTACGCCCCAAGAGTCGGCTTCTCTAAAAAAAAAAAAAAAAAGATTTTTTAAATCCTTTAAATAAAAACTGTACAAATTAAATATACAATGTAATGATTCTTAGAAATAAATGCTTATTCCAAGAGACTTCGTTATTTTTTCATGACTATTTTTTTTCTTATTAAAATTTAAAGTGCTCCCCCAGTGTTTTAGTTATTCTATAAGTACGCCTCGAAGTAAAAATACTCAAGAAATATTGCTCTAAACAAACAAAGAAGATTAAATTCAGGATTTCTCCCTGTGTTGAATACTCGTGATTAGTGATGGCTGCTGTTCGACAAGATGGCGTAGGTAAAAAAAAAAAAAAAAAAAAAAAAACGAACTTATTCTTCTAAAACATTACATTCATTATGTTTTCATGCAAAGCAAAGTTGGAATTACCATTAGTATTAAAATGTTAATTCCAACTTTGCTTTGCATGATTAAATCTTTTTGAATTGCGAGTCTTATGGAGAATTTAAAGTAAGGCTGAGACTCTTAACAGAATTCTATTGTTATTTTTTCCTTATCTATTCTATTCCCCTTATCTGCTGAATGAAGTTTCCTTTTAAAGAATAAAGACTTGTAGAATCAGTTCTTATTGTACGAGGGTCGGTGGACAGTTCATAGGCTGACCAGGTTATAAAGATAAGTAGGCACACCAGTTGGTAGATGAAAAGACATATAAGTGTTCCAGAATACAATAGCTAGCCGGTTAGGCTATGAACTGTCCAGCCGACCTTCGTAATACTTCTTGTTTCTCAATAACGTTTTCTCGGCTTTCTTCACTCTCAGTAACCCCTTAATTCATATTGATTTTATCGCCTCCCCTAGAGTGAAATATGTAAAAAAAAAAAAACAAAACAAAAAAACAAACTTATAAATCAAGAAATTAACAGAAAAAAAAAATCAAGAGTTACTGTACAATCCGGGGGGTGAGAATTATGTAATGTATCCAGTGGGTCTGAGATGGAGAGCTTCGATACGAACAAAGATTTCTTGTACAAAAAAGGAATGAACCGAAATTTGATTTCAGGTCACTGATGACTACCTTCTACTTGTTTGTTTGATTCGTTTTTTGTTTTTTTTTGCAACGTATCAACCCTTTTACAGGTTATTTAAAACCAGAAATTATTTTTAGATAGTAAATGAAAAGTCTTACTAATTAACCCATAGATGGTGGGAAAATACGTGGATTCATACCTTTCCTAATGGTATTTGCGCGTAAGTGAATATAACGAAGCCAGCTGGAATTAGAACACGACTCTGCGATTAAGAATTCTGAACCATTATCTACTCGTACATCCAAGTTTACCAAACCTGGTATTCCCAAGTGGTCACCCATCTAGGTACTGACCAAGCTCGATGTTGCTTAACTTCGGTGATCGTACAATTGATGTTTCAACATGATTTGACTATAAGCGACTATCTTTTGCAAAACCTCCGTAAAGCTTTCATTCATTCTTTTTCTTTCTCTCTCTTTCATCTTTTTTTTTTTTTTTTTTTTTTTTGTTCAAAATTCTTCAACAAACAATGTTTTTTTCGTCCATTTTAAAACTATGCGTTCACGATTATTTATTCCAAGTAGCGTCCATTATAACCAATTATATTTGTCCGTTTCTTGATCCTTCGACATTGTTTTCCATCAGGAAGCTTCTTTGAATGGAGTTGGATAATAAGCGTGGATGTGCGGCGGGGTGTTATGCATGAGAAATTTCGAGTTCGAATTCCAATCGGGTTCGTTTCATACAATTACGCGCAAATGCCCTTGGGAAATGTATGAATCCATCTCTTATACTCTCTTAGCTGGGTTGAATAGCAAGACAGACTGGGTCCTTTAGACTTGGCGCTCAGTCTACTGCAGAAAGAAACGGCAGCCTACTGTGGGAATATCTTCCGCCTAGACAGTAACGAATCGAAAGACTATGGTACTTAACTGGCTGACTGTAAAATAGACACTGAGATCAGAAATAATAATTTTATTTTCATATTGCTAGAAATTAAGTGTTCAAGATTACAAATATTTAAATTATTCAATTTTATATAAGTTAATAGGTGGTATAGTTTTCTATGTAAATTAATTGTAAATTGGGCTTTTTCCCGCGAACCACTGCCCGATAGAACAGATGCCCAAGAGGATCTTTTCCTTTTTTTATTAACCTGTTCAAGTCTAGATTTAACCATTATCTTCTTCTAGCCGTATAAACTGCCGCTTAATGTAACCCTCTACCTCGAATACCCCCTGGGCCTTGTATAGAGTGAGGCTTGCTGTAAAAAAAAATTTTAAAAAAATGATCTTGCTAAACATCACACCACGTTGATAGCCTTCTACCTATATAAGGTGTCCCTAAAGCCTGGACACATAGGAAAAATCTATATTTTCAAGAAATGAAATTTTCAACAAAAAATTATTGAATTGGAATATTAACAAGCAATATCTTCAATAGGATTTCCATCACTTCAATTTTAACCTGTTCAAGTCAACAGTTATCTTCTCCGATCAATATAAACTACCCCTTAACATAATTCTCTACCTCGATTGGCCCTCGATCCTTGTACATTACTGTAAATAAAAAAGAACCCTTTTCGAAGCCTAAACATATATATTAATACAACGTGATTTATGTAAATGTAAAAAGAAAAGAAAAATTAATTCGTAATTTGGAGTTCTTTTTCGTATATCAGGTGATGGAAAAGTAACTCCCTATTTTATGTATGATGGACTCTCCTGTATAACTATACTTTTTACAAAACGGGATAGTCGACCATACATAAAATAGGCAGTTACTTTTCAATAACACTTTATTAATATCGATTATGTACTCAAGATTACAAATTTCAAATTATTATGCAAATTGTCCGGTGGCAAGAGCTGCTGGTGGCGCCAGGGGTGGCAGTACCGCCTTAACCACAGAAAATTTGGAATTTTCTCTGGATGGCGGCTGACGAGGGCAGAGTATCGCACGTGCTTTCACACGTTGAATGTAGAGAATTTTTCTTTTCAGCTTCGTTGTTTCTTTTTTTTATTCTCTTTTTTTAAAAAAAAAATCTATTTTCCTCATGTCTTCTTCATCATTTTGCATCTCTGTCTTTTTCGGCCATCTCTGTTTTTTTTTTTTTTCTTTCTTTTCCTCAGTCTTGCGTGTGCTATGCGTTTATTTCCACGAAAGGGCGGTGGTACTATAGTTGATAAGCGCTTATAAATAAGATATTCGATAAGGTGTCGGGAAAAAAAAATGAACTCAAACATACCAGACATTTTATTTTGACAACTCCAACTAAAAGAAAGAAAGAAAGAAATCATTTTGCCACACCTTGATCAACTCTTGAGGCTAATGTTAATGTACTTGCTCGAATCTATGCGATAATACTAAACGGATGCATTTTTTTTTTTTTCGTTTCATCCCAAGCAAGGCGAGAAGCCACTAGGACGCAAGGGGCTACAAAAGATTTGGAGCAAGATCAGATAGGAGTGATAGAGGAAAAGATGAGGAGAAGGATAGTGGATAGATCAAGGCAACTGAAGATGTCGATTGACATTACATTAGAATAGCTGGAGATTATAGCTCTCAGGGAAACTGGAATAGGGAAGGGAGTTCCAAAGGCGAGAGGTGCGAGACATGAAGCTATTGGCGTAGAAGAGACGGCTACATTTAGGAGTTTCGATAGTGGAAGGGTGAGAGCGGGATGCCAGCCTCGTAGGGCGCTTGAACTCATGAAGACTGGGAACCAGCGAATGCAGCTCCTCGGAGCAATTGCCATGAAAGTATTTGTAAAACAGACAGAGAGAGGCGACGGCGCGTCTGTGAGAAAGTGACTGTAGACGAGATGCCAGATCAGGGCCAATTATATTGCATATCCGCCTCTGGATTTTATCAAGAACCCCGAGGCAAACAGAAGGGGCTCCAGACCATATATGGCAGTAATACTCCATGCAAGGGCGAATTGTTGATTTGTAGATCTGGAGGATCGATTCCGGGGAGAAAAATTTTCCTGGCGCGGCACAGGGAGCCAACTTTCCTTGCGGTGGACGAAGCAATTGACTCAATGTAAGTAATTAATTGCCGTATATACTCATGTATAAGTCTAGTTCATGTATAAAGCGACCTTTGAATTTCTTTTTGTGAATGCAAACCCAGCTTCTGAGCAATACTAGTCGGCCTACGTTAATCAAATATTGCAGTATTGGGCATCATCCGGGATATATTCTATAGTAAATAAGTAGTCTTCATCCATTTTTGTACAGCTATGGTATAGGATGTGCATTGCAGTGTAATAGATATAGGCTCGGAGAGCCGAGTTCGAATTTCAGTCGCGTTCGATACATTCACTTATGCACAAATGCCATTGAGAAAGGCATGTGTCCAACTCTTCTTCCTGGCTTGAAGAGTATGGAAGACGGGATTCTATAAATCAAAAGAAGACAAGCGTGTATCACATAAATGACTTAAAGCGGCACAAATAGTGACTGACCTTCTGCTGTTAAAAAAAAAGCCACAAAAAAAAAAGACGGCTACGGTAGGTACGGTTAAAGAAGTTTACCAATACGGTTAAGGTTATCAAAAGGTATCGTGATAATATAGGCCTAACAGGTAGGTTATGGTCAGTGGCGATTCTAGGAGGGGGACAGAAGGGGGCTAATGGCTCCCCCTCGAATTGTGGCTGGCTCCTCGTTTGCCCCCCCCCTATTCTAAGTTTTGTAGAGGAAAAAAATCAGAACAAACAAATTACACTTTTCTGCTAGTATTGACGCTAGTGTTAACCCTTTGATTTTGTTTTGAAGTTAACCTCTCTTGGGGTCCATCAGTTTAAGAGGGGAAATGAGGGCAAGAATAGATTAGAACTTCACTACTATGAATGAAAAGTTATTTCGTTTAATTTAGTGAAGTTACATACTTATATTAAAACTCATTTCTAAGTTGTGTATACGATAGTGGTGGAGTATGAAAATAAAGACGCTCCTTGAATTAGTCCCCTCCTCCGCAGAAAAATCTCGGTCCCCAAGTGTCCCCCGCCTTTCAAAATTTCAGTATCGCCACTGGTTATGGTCCTTGAAAATGCTTGAATTTTAAACCTCTCCGCTTCTGCCTATCACCGAAATTTCCTGATTTTTAACTTCTTCAAAATAATTACCTGTGTATCGTGCGACCCCCTATTTTTTGCATAAACAAAATCGCAATATATACGACTATATACTTGCGTCAATATCAACGTGTCTATTTCTTCATCATCACCCCTTCGGCGCAATCTTGATGGCGACAGAAAATCCTTAAAGAATATATTTATTTGCCAAAGAGTGAAACATTAATGAAAACAATCAATGTGAAACTTTTTTTTTTGTACTTTCATATTATCGACAGCCATTCTTTTGGCAAATTTGGACCGTCGGGCTTTCAAAAAAGCTTGGGCCGTCGGGCTTTCAAAAAAGCTTGGGCCGTCGGGCTTTCAAAAAAGCTTGGACGGTCGGGCTTTCAAAAAAGCTTGGGCCGTCGGGCTTTCAAAAAAGCTTGGACGGTCGGGCTTTCAAAAAGCTTGGACCGTCGGGCTTTCAAAAAAGCTTGGACCGTCGGGCTTTCAAAAAACTTGGACCGTCGGGCTTTCCAAAAAGCTTGGACGGTCGGGCTTTCAAAAAGCTTGGACCGTCGGGCTTTCAAAAAAACTTGGACCGTCGGGCTTTCAAAAAAACTTGGACCGTCGGGCTTTCAAAAGAAAAGAAAAAAGGGTATGTCAAAAGGACGGTTTTTGTTCCCTTGACACCGCTATTATTTTAACTACCTTCACTCCTCGGCAATGTTTATTGTTTTAAAAAGCGTTTATTAGAATTTTAATAAAACCTAAACATTATAATGAAAGGGAATTTATACATTTTCTTTGTTCTTGAGAACAATGTTCGATGCAAAATGCAATGGATTGACCAGGATAAATGTATACGACCAATCCCAAAAGCTGAACTCAGTGGAATTGTAATGTTGTACTTATAGTGGATTGTCGTAGTAATTAAGAGTTCTTAAAACGCAATGAAGCACTAAATGCATATTTATAAGTTAAGTAGCTGCAACGTGTCCGTAAAGATTTGGTCAAATGCGTCCAACCGTTATCTTCCTCACATATAAACTGTATATCTTACTCTGTAACACTATACATTTTACGGGAAGATCATTTTAAAAAAAATAACATATACCACACACACATCGTACCTAGGGGTGCCAGATTAGAAAATTGCAAATACGGGACATCTGTCTACATCTCTGAGATGAGGTATTTTGATTACTTACATAATTTACATTATTCGGGGTGATATCCTCATCTTCATTGCCAAATTCACAACGTTTCGGTCGTCGCTCCGGCCTTCTTCAGATGATTTGAATTTCGAACCAAACCCTTTATTTC